TATTATTTTGAAACTCACTCTTCTCCAGGACTTTGGATGGAAAGCCCAGCCAGTTCAAAAATAGTATTGTGTTATACATATTTTGGAAGACTCGTTTGTGTTTGTTTGTATGTGTTTAAGTATAAACACGGTTTTCCGGTTTATATTAATTTTAAAAATATATCGCTAAGAATATTTTAGTGGCATACTGAAACGTTTGTGGCAGTAAACCATTTTTAAAGATAGCAGGACAGCATTGTAATTATATCTCATATGGCACTCGTTATTTTGATCAAGTGTTCGAGAGTAAAGCGACTTTAGAATTTTATCTTATAAATCCTCAAGGGTTTCTTAATCAAATATCAACCATTATTTTGTACATTATTTGTTATTGTGGTCACTAAAAGAGTGGATTGTTTAAGTTCCTTTAAACAAGTATCGATATTTACTCGTTCGACGGTTCGGGGATTAAGAAAACCGAAAATATCTGTTGCGTCAAGCCTTTGCATGGCATATATGTACAACAGAGTAGCACGGACCACCTTTACTAAACAGCATTCGTTATCGTTGTTATTTAGTTAAGAGTTCAAAATCGAAGGTAGGTAAACTGTGTTAGAACGTCGCGGCGCACAAGGAGGTAATACTCCCTTGGTCGTCCGGTTAGTAAAACTGATTACCGAAGGTTTTGGGGTTCGTTCAAATACTTACTACCGTACGCGTCTAGAGAGCCTGGTGTATACGTCAGGTTAGCCGAGTTAAAAGATATACTTAGTGGCCAACGAGAAAAAGGTGCGTTTTATGTAGTTTTTTTTTTATTTTATATATACACAAAAATGTTAATACCAACTTTTGACGAATATCGTTAATATCACGGCCTTTTTTCAAACACGTATAACCAAATTCCGCTCAGAATCGTTTTTCATCAACAATGATTAATCGAAAATACATCGAATTCCCCTATATATCCATACATTCTCGATTTCTCACCTACAATAGTGGGCCCACCTATCGCGAGAAGTATGTTCGTCTTTTTTTAAAATTATTATTATCGCTCAGCCAGGTAAATTGTTATAATAATATTATGTAACTGTGCGGCGGCGGTATGGCTATAATTGAAACATTAAACGTTGGTCGTTGATTTATGCGGCCCGTACTGCAGGCGGCGGCGCACTCGTATAATACGCAGTTGGCTTTTCCGTTTAAGTTACGGCACGCAATAAAATTTATAAACGTTTTTTTTTTTTTTTATGGCACGGTATATTATTATAATAATAACAATAATAATAGGTAGGTTATATACTGTCCAATTAGCATAATATATCAGTATATCACCCAAGGAGAGGTGTTTTTTTTTGGTAAATGATCCCCGTTCGCTGGGGTTTTCAATTTAAAAAATAAAAAAAAACCTACAAGTTTTTGGTAACGTATACGTACATGGGCTACGTGGAAATGAACGCATTTTATTGTATCATAATAGTTATTACACAAACACGGTGGCGATAAATATACATACACCTACTCATATTTATGTAGATACTTATTATAAAACACTAGCTGTCCCGCGCCCGGCTTTGCCCGTGCCAAATTTTATTGTTATTATTTTACCCATATTCATTTCAGAATTGAAAGAAAACAAATAGGTGGGGAAAGTGGGTGGCCGAAATGTGTTCCGTTTTAACAGTGTAAATAATATAGTAATAATAATAATTATAACAGTTTTCTGTGGCAACCAAATCATCATTCTTAACAACAAGGTAACCCTTGAATGAAGAAAAATAAATAAATAAGCAATTAGACACTCGAACCGAATATACCTAAAAACCTCTATTTACCCCCTCAGAGGTTGAATTTTCAAAAATCCTTTCTTAACGGATGACTACGGCATAGTAGCTATCTGTGCCATAACAACGGCCCGTTCCGATTTTATTGTATTGATCGTTTACATTTTTTTCTCGGCATTTTCGAACAATTTAAATTTCATAATAATTTACTCGTATATTCCGCAACTGTCATCGTGCGGTTTATAACATTAAAACTTTTATCGAGTACAATATATATATATGGAAAAGTTTTCACGAAACTTATATATACGAGTATGATACTCTACAACAATAACAAAGTCATGTTGGAAAAGTTTTTGTTTTTTGATTATATCTGCAGTAAATAATTGGGACTCAAATTTATACGGTTTAAAAGTCACGGGAAACTTAATAGGTAGGTAGGTTGTTGGTAGGTACCGAATTAAATGGATTTACGATGTTGAAGTTTTGTTTGTTTTTTTTTTCGGTCTAAATGATACATAATATACCTATTCGGTTAATTATATTCATCCTTTTTAGTTTTAATTCGCGTAGTAAGTATTAATGCGCGTAGCTCCATAAAGCGCAGTCAGGTGATAATAATATTATATAACGTTTTAATCATTTATAATTTGTTTACGCGTTTAAAATATTAGATACTTATCCAATTAAAATGAAAGATTTTGTAAGGAAAACAATTATTATGATCATTTTTTCTGAAAACGTACAAGTTTACTCCTATTAATATGAGATCTCTGGGTAGGCCAAAAAAAAAATGTTGACGGACCAATTTATAAAGAATCTGATAGAAATTGCCAATATGAAACACAAAATGGAATCATTAGATCAGGATAGGGTTAGAATGGTTAGATAGAAGTAGATATAAAAAAAACAACACAAAAGTTTTTATTGCTGTAATGAGTCTCAACGGACTTTAAAAATCGAAAAAGAATATACAATTTAATTATCTAGTTCAATTATTTTTTAAGTATCTAAACATAATGATAAGACATTGCTGATAGAGCACGATTCTGAGCAAAAATTGGGTTAAACATGTTTTGAAATGCTGTGTTGTAATGATTTCCACTAAACGTTGTACTTTAAACGCACATATAAAAAAAACAAAAAATAACGATTTTTTTTCCACTCGGTACAACTTGTGATAAATCTAGTGTAGGTACGGTTTTAAATATATAAATTCTGTCATTTTTCAAAACATCTTAGGGTTTGTTTCAAATCGTGTATTAATGAAATCACTGGGAACAATATCAATAGTGAGTATTTTTCTTGTATTGATCATATATTTTTTAAGAATGATAATAAATTTTAAAACGTTTTAGGGTATGTATGTCAAAATAATATTACTTATCATCATTGTACTGTATTACAATTTAAAAAAAAAACTATAGTAAATAACATTGATGAAATTAATAAGTTAAAAGAATTTACTAATATAGTAATAAACTTAAAAAAACTTCTAAATAATGAAAACGGGTCTATTGTTTTAACTTCAAATAATTATAATGTTGCTGTTAATAATTTTTTCATATTCTAATTATACAAAACCAATTAATTTACTAAACCATACAAATTTAATTGCTACGGGTTTTGTCATATTTTTCTAATTGTAGTTTATTTAAGAATTATATTTTATGTAACATATAATGTTTGTAATGTTTGTAATTTATATAATACTGTGAAAAATCAAAAATAATGAAAATTTCATTATTGTTAATATGTCCTTTTTTCCAATAGGAATTTTTTTTGGTTTTTCTAATGTATTATATGAAAACTGCTTGGAAAATTAAAAAATGACCTCCACAATATTCTAACGAGATCTAAAATGTTACAAAAAAGCTATCTTATTATTTTTTGATTGGAGCAAGATTTCTGGTAGAAACGTTGTAAACAGATAGAAAACAAAAATACTATAAAACAAATCATAAAAACAAAAGGTCATCCACAAAGTGATTCCTATACCTAATATAATATATAAATTCGTATCTTTATAAAAATTAAAGCCGGGCAACTGCCCTCTGTTGCCCTTTTTTAATACGGTCATGCTCGTAATCCTTATCAATACCCGATAACCGGTCGTTATTAATTCTTCATTTTTTCCCTACATTATAAAATAAAAATAATTTAACAAGCACAAATTTTACTCCATAATGACTGCTTGTGTCTCCCCAGCAATGTGTTCACGTCCTTCTGCCCCTTGGTTTGGGAAACACTGATGTATGGTCATGATTGAGAAATTCGATCGAAATTACGTATAATTCACATTGTTATACTACGTATAAGAACGCGAGTTTTTGAACACAAATCTATAAGTCTTGTTTTCTATACTTCAATATAATTGGCGTCATGTCAAACCGTATGAGTGGGTACCTAAAGGCATCATAATGTTCGAGGTTTAAACGAGCAGTTGTTTATAGTGTAATGCTATTATTTACCCCGCCACTCTAAGCAATTATTTTAATCGATTATATTCAATAAAAACCTCGCTTAGTTTTTCCAAATATTCAATTATTAAAAAAAAACGGACATACTTCGCACAATGAGTGGGCCACTGTTGTAGGTGAAAAAATGTTAAGATAAGATATAGAGATGAATCGAATGTATATATGTACGTAACGATCAATCATTGCTAATTAAAATTGATTCTAAATGTTTTGAAAGGTCGTAATATTTACAATTTTCGAATATTTTTAATTGAACCACAACAAAAAAATCAAAATGTATTGTTTTCAACAATACATTTCGCACATTTTTCCGTTTTTTCTACATTTTTACCCCGGTTTTATGAAAACCCCTTGAAAAATCAAAAAATAACATTCTTAAAGTACCACATAGAATTTAATTTGAAAAAAAGTGCTATACTTGAAAATCAGAGGAAGAATTCTAGTAGAAAAGTTATAAATGGATAAAAAAAATAAACATCATTGTAAAACTACGACTTGTTTGAATTCGGAACATTTTTAATAAAACTGATAGCTTCTTGGTGACTTTATTACACGTAGAGTCTATTACAAAATGACTATTATAATTTACCAGGGGTGTTAGTTGAAATTTGCCGGTTTTACTAATAGATGTCACTAGAGATATGTATACATTTCTATAATTTGGCATTTCTGTTATTTTTTCTATGGACATTAACCTTCAAAAATACATAAGTTAGATTATGCCAAAATAATAGTGTCATAGTTGTTTACCTCAGTGGATATGTTGAGTTTCGTTCCAAGTAAATTGCATTTGCGGCATTCGTTGTTTTACTTATTTCATCAAAAGAAAAAAGCAGCTGAAGCTCATCGGTTGCTGGTAGAAACTTATGGTGAACATGCTCCAGTGATTAAACAAGTGAGACATGGTTTCGTCAATTTAAAAATGGAAATTTTGACAATGAACATCCTGGTAAAGCGAAAAAGTTCGAAGACGAGGAATTGCAGGCCTTATTGGATGAAGACCCAACCCAATCACAACAATAATTGGCATAAACACTAAATGTGACCCAAGAAACAATTTTCCAACATTTAAAAGCCATAGGAAAGATTCAAAAGTATGGAAAATAGGTACCACACCAACTGAACAATAGACAAATGGCAAATCGAAAAACTATTTGTGAAATTCTGCTTTAACGGTTCGAAAGGAAATCTTTTCTGCATTAAATTGTCACGAGGACAAAAAATGGATTTATTTTGAGAACCCGAAATGGAAAATATCATGGTTTTCACCTGGTGAGGCCGGCCCATCAACTCCAATGCCAAATCGCTTTGGCCGTAAGACAATGCTCTGTGTTTGGTGGAACCAGTGTGGTGTGGTGTACTTCGAGTTATTAAAACCTGGTGAGACGGTGAATACGGATCGCTGCCGACAACAAATTATCAATTTGAATCATGCGTTGATCGAAAAACGGCCGGAATGGGCCCGGTGACAAAGTGGCACATGGCAAAGTTATCCTACAACATAACAACACACCGTCTCATACCGCTAAAGTGGTGAAGAACACATTAAAAGCATTGAATTGGAAAATATTATCACACCCGCCGTACTCTCCAGACCTCGCCCCATCCGACTATCATCTTTTCACATCGATGGGATACTCATTCGCAGAGCAGCACCAATTTTGAAGATGTCGAAAATTTGGCTCGTCGAATGGTTTGCCTCGAACGAGAAAAATTTTTTTGGATTGGTATCCATGATTTACCTGAAAGATGGGCAAAATGTGTACAAAACCAATGGTCAATACTTTGATTAAAATTTTTTGAAAATTCCCTTGAGAATTAATTGTTTCCTTTATCGAAAAAACCGGAAAACTTCAACTAACACCCCTGGTAAAGTTAACAATAACCCATTTGAAGATAATATCGGTCATTTAAAAATAATAACTGTTATGCTTAAACTGCAGCAATTCTCATCTCCACGATTATATCTTTTAACTTTTCCTATATTACATTTAAAAAAAAAACGAAACGAGACACAAACTGCACGATGACCTGCTTCTCAAACGGAACTAAAGCGTCCGCAGACGGAAGTTTTTCGTGGCGAAAGTTAAAAATACTATGTACCCGCGTGACGTGCGAATAAAAGACCATACATTTATTTTAAACGATAAAATTTAATAATACACAAAAACATTGTATAATTTTAATTTTAATTTTTTTTTTTTATTTATTTATTTAGACCCCGGTAAATATTTAGTAAGTATAATTATGAAGCTACTACGAATTTCCATGACTTAAACGTTTCACTTGTATTTTTATTACTTTGGTTTGTTCTATCTCATCTAGGACCATCATTCCAGTAATGCTTGTATTGTAATGATGGATTTTTCTTCACTATACATGTAAACCATACAAATCATCACAGTTAACCTTTTTTTTTTTTTTTTTTTTTATCGATTTTTAAAATATTTGTTTTATTTTATTATATTAGGTAATAGGTACTCGAAATTTAAAACGCAATTATTCTCAATACTATATCGTTTCTATCAGTTGTTCGCGAAAGTAACTTTCAAAGCGAAAGATGTACGCATTTCCGTAAAAAAATCAATAAGTTTGCAATCTTTCGACCTATAAGTCTAATAATTTCAAATGGAATGGCTACATGATGGCAAGACGGAATCATTAATTAATACCCTCGTGGTTGATGCGATAGGTGTAATGAGTAGATATTGTGAAATGTCACTTGTGAATCGTGATGGCGTCGAACAGTAATAATTCAACGTTCAAAATGCACTATTATATTCTGTAGAATAATAATATGTATTATTTAAAATAATAATAATTGTGAGTAGTGCAGACGTTGACGGCGATAATAATATGTTTTAGAATTATTATTTGTCATTTTGTCGTATATATTATTATATAAATATTATTATTTTAACAATAGTCGGTATGATATTATTGTATAGCTTTGCGAATGTTTGCGCCGTTCTCGTCGAATACAATAATCAGTCCTCCCGCGGGAAAAGGTCACGAAATTATTGCGTGGTTGTAATATTATTTTATTCATCTACGGCACAATTTAATCTATTTCACTGTAAAATGTTCATTTACTTTTGAGTGGTACTAGTTGTTTGTCAGACTGTGAGTATAGGTATGTTAATAACTTATTGAAACTAAAATGAATTTAACAATTGCAACAGCTAATAACATTTTTCTTTGTACAAATTGTTTAGGTTCAAAATTTTTACCAACAAGTATAAAAACTAATAAAAGCTTATATTTGTGCTACCAACGACCAGTCCTACAACACGGGTAGGTATAATAAAAGTTGATGATCTTTGAAAAAAGTAGCGATTCCGATGTATTTATGGTATGTATGTATGTATTTATATGTATTTATTTATTTATGGTCCTATTGTATGAAATATAGAGAATATATCGAATTAAACGAAAGAGTATACCAGTTATATTGAAAGCCAAATATTAATTAAAGCATTTATTAGGAGTAAAAGTGCATGGAGAGAAAAATATATAAAAATACATAGATGCTACCCCGGGCAAAGGTGGATGGATAGGTACGCTGAAAACTTACCTTTGCACAAGAGACGATAATAAAATTAGAGTAATTTGAAAACGAATGGTCTAAATGAACATGAAATGCTACAGTGGAGCAAGCAGAAGTATAACAAGGCGAAAAACGAATTTTGTTATTATACGTACACGAATATAAGATTGTCGTGTTTAAAATGTAACTTTAATTAACAAATATTTCGTCTAATAACTGGCTATATACATTTTATTATACATCGAGATGAAATTAAATATCATTTTAATGTATTTTCTGGCCCTGGTGATTTGATTCCAAAGCGAAATCCGATCAAAATCAACTCAGTTGTATTTTCGATTTCGACCGCGATAAATATAGAAAACATTTTTCAAGGCCATACGATTTTACGAGTATTACAGAGTGTAAATAGGATAAGTTTCCTTCCCTGTAAATATCTCCCTTAGCTCGAAATTAAATACAATGAGTAGGGCGTATAATAATTACATATTCTATGTATTATAACGTTATTCTAACGCCTTTATATTTTCCACTAAAAACAATAATAATAAACGCCAGTAGACGAATATACTCGTCTAATGACTTTTGGTTAGGTTAATATATATAGTTTTGAAGTTTTTATACGGCGAGATTAATTATTTTAATCGAGCCGTTTGCTTAATACTGTGTTTATTTTTTTCCTTTCAAACTTCTCCGGGTAATATTGTTTTTTAAAAAAAAATACTTTTATCACCATCTATAATGCGAGAAAGAATATATATTGAACAAATTTAACTCTCGGTACGAGTTCTAAATAGTATATATATATATTTTTTTTTTGGAATAAAATATTATCTATATCAAAAAATAAAAGTTCAGTAGTAAATTTTATATCTTAATATTCGTTATATTTTTTATATACATTTGAATTTAGTGTTTTTTATTAAAAAAAAAAGTTCAACTCGTTCAATCTTTTGGTAGGTTATATCGAAAGTCATAATAATAAAAAAAAAACAAATAATGTAATAAAAACGACTTGAAAGGAGCGTTATGTATGGTGAGCGAAGATTTTTTAATTTGACGTATGATATGAAGAAAATATTCGTAACATGAGATTGACAAATGTAAATAGATATATAACACCTATACGAATAAAACCGCGTCATAAAATAAAAAATAAAAACCATTGACAGTAATTTATATTGAAATATTGCAAAGTTATTGTCGGGTTGTGCATCAGGTGTCTGAAACGAATTAAATTGCATATTGTAATGCTTGTAATGAAAATTTGATATTTTTTTAGGATATTTTCAACTTATCATGTATAAGTAAGAGCAGTGACTTATTTAAGGAAAGAAATTATATATCTCTTCCTTAGACCTTTGTTTAGTATTCATTATTTATGTGACTCGTTTCTTCTATACTTCTTCTCTTACCCTTAATCTAATCTTTCATTTGGCCTGATCTCGCATTATTTGGCTGTCCTTGAGTGTCTTAATTGAATTTTACCACCTCTTTTTGGTCTTCCTCTTCCCTTTCCTTATAAATTTATTTTCGTTACTATTTTTACTATTTCTGATTCCTCTTTTCTCACGACAAGTCCAAACTATATCAGTCTATTTTCTCTTATTTGTCTACTATTAAAGCCATTTTGTAAATTCAAATTTCTTTAGTTTTATGTCAGGAAAATCAAAAATGTGTTGGCACCCAATCAATATAGGTAACTATCAAAATAATCTGAACGTATACGTTTTCTCGTTTAAAACAAAACCTATAATGTAGTTTATAATATGAAGGTTGGTTAAACTAGGACTTAAATAATAAAAAAAACGAATAATAATTATTATAATACATATAATATAGCTATTTGATTTTAATGATGATTTCAAGACAGATTGTACTATAAACTATACTTACAAAAATAATAAACAGATTAAAGATTTCCTTTTTTACACATTATACAATATTACACAATTTTCGAATTCAATAACCCCATAAAATATAACAAAATTCTAAATACACAAGTGGGCAAGGCTATAGATATAATGCACATTTATTATAATAAAAACATCAAAATGTAGGCCTCAAAACTATTTGAACTTGATTTACCTATTTGTAGATTTTTTTTATGTCCTCTGTATAGATATTTTTAATGAATTGAGTTCAATTTAACTACAGGAAAATTGCGTACAAAATTGTGTAGAGAAATAAATTATAGTACTTTTAGATGCGAATAGTTTTCCATTGTGCCACACAAGTATTTTATTAATAACAAAATATTTTTGCCGAGAAACTTTTAATATTTGAATAGTTTTAAAATAATGACCGGGCAATTGTACATAATTATAGAGCTCATGCAAAATATCACTTATTAATATAATAATATAATTTTTCAGTTATTTTTGTTAACGCATTTTTGATTAAAAAAATATTTTAATTTCAACGTCCGTTGTATAGAAATACGAGCGAAAAATTCATTAAAACTTTGGATTAAAATCAAACACTGCCATAAT